TTACTTTTGGATTATGGTCTCACTTGCCAAATAGGAAGTCTCATCGAATCTAAGGGTGGCAATTTTATCCGCGACCCGCGGAGCTTCACGGAGATACCCGCTGTGGGGATGGAGATTCTCAGAATATTCTTACCCGTGGGGCGGGGATGGAGGTAATTTTTTACCCGTGAAATTTCGTGGGGAATTTTCTCCACTCCGTGGGGAACCGTGGGGATCCATATAAAATAAAAAAAAATGTAAATTTATTTATATATATATTTTTTGTACATATATTAACAATTAATTTTTACTTACCCAACCTAATTAGCTAACTCAATACCAACATAACTTAAATTTCACAATCCATTCTTTATTCAAATTTTCCAAACCCAATTCTCACTACTCAGCCCAACCCAAATTTTTTTTTTTGTGAATCTAACATCCTTATTTTCTAAACTTAATTGCCCAAATTCACAATTTACAGCCCAGCCCAATTTACATATAACCCTAATTGGCTAGCAAAGACATTTTACATTTTTTAATTTTTTCTTTCAGCCGAATCACGGAATCACCGAATCAGCCCCCTTTTTTGCTTGCCGCTTCTCCAGTTCTCCCTTCTTGCAAATTCTGAATTAGGGTTAGAGATTTCCCACTCGCCACTCCTCTCTCGCCTCTCGGAGTCTCGGTCGACTTTCCTCTCGGACCTCTCCTCTAATCCTCTGTCACCCTCACACTCTTCACTCTCACTCATGCTCAAACTCAGCCCTCATCTCCAGATTCTCCACAACCCACTGTGAATCGGACCAATTGGTGCTTCCCTTCACTCCTTCAGCTCTCACCTCTCACCGACTCTGCGACTCACCGTGCCTATAGCCTACTCTACTCTCTCGGTCGACTCACCTTCACAGCCATACCCTTCAACTCTTGACCTCTCACGGACAGACGGACTCACGATGCCATCACTACAGCCCTCGGCCCTTGCTGCCCTGCAAACCGCTCACCTCCAGCTGAGCTCCAAGGCTACTGCTGGGTCGGCTCAGCCAACCTCTCACCGTGGCACCCTACCATTAGCCCGTCACTGCATGTCAGCACCGCTCACCTCTAGCTCCTCCAAGGCTGGGTCATCCTCTTTATCTTTCTGTTGTCGCGTGGCCTCCTCCTCTGCACTGCCTCAGATTCTTTTCAAACTCTCCAACTCTAGGTATCAATTAGATGCAGTTTCTAAAGCTACCATTTTTGTGCTTTGCTTTAGTGATTCTAACTAGTATAATTTAATTTTTGTGCTTGAGTGCTTTAGTGTTTCTAACTAGTAATTTTTGTGCTTTAGTGCTTTAGTGTTTCTAAATTTTGTTAATTTGGGGTATTTGTTTTTATTTCAGGAGGTTATTTCCTCAACTTGAAATTATTGATCAAGTCTAGCTCAAGTTGCA